GGAGCTCGTCGACTCGAGCGACACCGCGCCGCGCGACGACGACCACGGCGGCGACGGCATGGAGCCCATGCTGCGCATCGACGCGGCGCTCGAGCGGATCCGCGGTGAGCTCGCGTTCCTCGCGCGCCGCGTCGGCGACGACGACGGCGCGGCCGCGGCCCTGCTGCGGGCCAGGGACGGCCTCGAGTCCATCGAGGCCGCGAACCGCGTCGCCGGCGAGCTCCTCACCTACAAGATGCCGACGACGGTGCGCATCGACACCGCGGGCAACTTCTTCAAGCTCCAGCGGAGCGAGAACGAGCAGGCGCAGGAGGAGGACGACAAGTCGGCGGGCAGCCGCACGATGGGCCGGCGCCGGTCGAGCTTCAAGATGACGGCCGTCGGGGGCCTCGTCCAGCGCCGGCCGTCGGCCGCGTCGGGCGCGCGGTCGCGCGCGGACTCGGGCGGCTCCGACGGCGGCGACGCCCAGGGCAGGACAAGGGTGATTCAACGTCGCTTCAACGTGAGTGCTCCGCGCGCGCCCGTTCTGGGAAAAGCATCCACGCTTCGAGACCGTTCCGAGAGATGATCGCTCGTCCAAAAATCAGCCGAAACGAGTGGAAACCGGCCGAGAGAGGAGCCTTTGAAGTTGGGAATTTCGCTCTCTTGTCCTGCCCAGGCGACGCCGGGCCCGGCATCGCGAACTCGAACTTCGGGCGGTCCCTGTCCCTCGACGACGGCCTCCGCGCCCACTCCGGCACGACGCTCGAGGACCTCGCCGGCGCCGGGGACGCCGGGGGCGCCGGGGACGCCGGGGACGCCGGGGGCGACGTCGAAGCCGGGGACGCCGGGGACGCCGGGGGCGACGTCGAAGCCGGGGACGCCGGGGACGCCGGCTCCTAGGCCCCCCCGCGCGCGTGCACATAACACACCACACTTAGCGCACCTTGAGCCCGCCGCACGTCGCGTTCGGCGGCGTCCGCCCCGGGTCGCACGCCCCGAGGCCGCCGGCGTGGAGCATGCCGGCGAAGGGGCAGTAGGGCTGGCGGTGGCGCTTCGACCTTCGCGCGACGACGACGCCGCGGTGCGCGCACGCGACCCACGCGGCGAGCGCCGGCGCCGGGTCCGGCGCGAGGAGCGTCGCCCAGGCGCGCTCGGCGAAGTGGCCCTCCTGGATGTTGTCGCCGCGGTCCAGCGACCGCGCGACGGCCCGCCAGCCCTCGGCGCCGAGCGACCGCGCGCCGGCGCGCGTCGCCGCGAAGGTGCCGCCGAGGCCTGGGCAGCAAAAGGGTGATTCAACGTCGCTTCAACGTGAGTGTTCTGCGCGCGCGCGTTCCGGAAAAAACATCCACGCTTCGAGACCGTTCCGAGAGATGATCGCTCGTCCAAAAATCAGCCGAAACGAGTGGAAAATGGCCGAGATCGGAGCCTTTGAAGTTGGGAATTTCGCTCTCTTTTGCTGCCCTGGCCGAGGCAGACGGGCGTCGCGGCGCGGGACAGGGCCGACGCCGCGTGCGCGCGCCGGTCCGGCGCCGCGCCGCGCGCCAGGCCCGCGGCGACGACGGACTCGAGCCAGGCGCCGAGCGCGCGGTATCGCGGGCTCGCGAAGCCGCCGGGCCGGGGCCGCCGCCCGCGGTTCTGGTCCCAGGCCTTGCGGTACTTGGGGATGGTCCAGGCCCGCAGCGTCGGGCCGTCGTACCAGTCCGACGCCTCGGACCCGACGCCGCAGCCGAAGCCGTGGGCCGCCGCGCCCGCGACGACGTCGGCGAGCTCGCGGCGCCGCCGCCGGGGCTGCGACCGGAAGCTGTCCTTCGTGAAGAGCGTCAGGTCCTCGAGGGAGTCGTGGGCCTCGGCGAGGTGCACGGCGTAGCTGTGGTCGCAGCGCCCGACGTTGTCGTAGTCGTAGACGACCGCGGGCTCGAACTTGAGGCCGACGTCGCCGCCGCCGCCGCACTTGGAGTAGACGGACACGCGCGCCACGTCGACGCCGCGCGCCGCCAGCGCCGCGATGTCGCCGTCGAGCCAGGCCAGGGGCACGGAGCAGTGCGACACGACGATCTCGACGCGACCGCGCAGCGTCGCGTTGGAGAAGTCGCCGCTGAGGGGCCGCCAGACGCTGTCCGCGGAGCCGCAAACGCCGTCGGCCCAGCAGGCCGTCGCGTTGCACCGCCGCCGCGGCCGGCGGTGGTCGCACCAGCCCACGGGCGCACCGCGGCACGCCGCGAGGGCGAGCGCGGCGCGGCATTTCATCACCTCATCTCATCTCATGCGCTGGGTATGATCTCATGCCGCCGCCGTCGTTCAAGGAGCCGACGGAGCCGTCGCGTCGGCCGCCGGTTGGCGGCGCGCTTTCGTAATGGCCATCCTGCCGGCCTACGAGCGGGGCTGCCGCCACGGCGCGCCGTCGCGGGCGCGCTGCCGCGAGCGGCGCGACACGGCGCGGCGCGTCGAAGCCGTCGAGAAGCTCGGCGAGGCCCTCGACGGCGTGCTCGCCACGGGCGACGCCGTCGACGCGGCGTCGCTCGAGGTCCTGCTGCGGCGCTTCGAGCCCGCCGCGCACCCCGAGGCGCTGCTCGTCGCCCAGGCCATGACGATCGACGCCCTCGCGGCCGGGCGGCCCGAGGCCGGGCGCCACTTCGCCGTCGCGCGCGCGATCAGGCTCGCGCTCGGCGCGTGCGGCGGAAGCGACAAGTTCCGCGCCGCGGCGGCGACGACGGGCCTCGCCGTCGCCGGGTCCGTCGCGGCGCGCTGCGCCGAGGAGTTCGTCGGCGTGCCCTGCGGCTGCCTCGGGCGCCTGCCGCGCCCCGTGCGGCGGCCCTGGGAGCGGGCCAAGTCCGAGGCCGCGCGGCTCTTCGCCGCCGGCCGATTCGACGACGCGCGCGGCCACTACATCGCCGCGGCCGACGGGTTGAGCCAGGAGCTGGCGCCGCCGGCGACGGCCGAGGACGGCAGGAACGCCGGCCTCGTGGCCTGGGCCTTCGAGCAGCAGGGCCTGCTGCTGGGCAACGCGAGCCTCTGCGCGCACATCAAATCTTCAACCCGACTTCAATGTGCGCGCATGCGAATGTTTTGACACGAGCACTTCCGCCGTGCTTCGAGAACTCGACGAGAGCGATCGATTCGTCCAAAAATCAGCCGAATCGACTTCGATGTGACCGAGCTAGAGATTTCTCAAGTTTGGCCTCGACGTCCCAGCTCACTGGTTGATTTCCACACAGGCGAGCCTCTGCGCGCTCAAGGGCGGCGACGCCGCGGGCGCGCTGGACCTCGCCGCGCGGAGCGTGCAGCTCGCGCCCCACGCCTCCAAGCTCTGGGCGCGGCTGGGCGCCGCGCGCTTCGTCGCCGGGGACGCGGCGGGCGCGGCCCTCGCGTACGAGAACGCGCTGGACCGCGAGGCGGCCGTCGCCGGCGCCGGCTCGAAGGACGCCGCGGTCTTCGCGAAGCTCAAGCGCGACGCCGAAAACGCCGCCGCCGCGGCGCCGGCGGCCGTCGCGCCCGCGCCCGCGGCGCCGCGCGACGCCGCGGCGCTCGTCGACGGCGCGCTCCGCTGCGAGGCCGTGCTGTCCTTCGTGAGCGAGCGGGGCCTCCGGGCGCTCGCGGCGGCGGCGGGGGCGCTCCGGCCCGTCTCGGACCGCGGCCGCCGGGCGCTCCGGTGCCGGGCCATGCTCCGCTACAGCGTCGGCGTCCACAGGGACGGCAAATACCTCTCCGTCGCCGACGCCGCGCGCGCCTACGTGCAATCGGGCGACGCGCAGGCGCTCGCGCCGGCGGTGGCCGCGGCCCTGGACGCCGAGGGCAACGGCGCGGCCTACGCGCCGCTCCTGCTCGCGGCGTGCCCCGGCGACGCGCGCGGCGCCGTCGCGTACGCGGACGCGTGCGCGGCCGAGGCGAACCGGCGCGGCGGCGCCGTCGCGGCGTCGTTCGCCGCGGCGCCCGTCAACGCGTCCGGCGCGGCGCTCACGCAGAGGAACGCGCTCTACCTCGGCGCGCTGCTCCGCTGCGACGCCGTCCCGCGCTTCGACGGCGCCGCGCGCCTCGAGCAGCTGCTCGAGGTGCCGCTCCAGG